ACATCGTCTATTGGGGATGATGTTGCTATATTACGTATCTACATCGTCTATTGGGGATGATGTTGCTATATTACGTATCTACATCGTCTATTGGGGATGATGTTGCTATATTACGTATCTACCTCGTCTTTTGGGGATCACGTAGAAATATTACATTTCTACCTCGTCTATTGGGGATGACGTTACTATATTTCGTATCAAATGTATGTCACCTATTGTGGATGACGTCGCTTTGTTACGTATCTACCTCGTCTATTGGGGATGATGTTGCTATGTTACGTATCTACCTCGTCTATTGGGGATGACGTTACTATATTTCGTATCAAATGTATGTCACATTTTGTGGATGACGTCGCTATGTTACGTATCTACCTCATCTATTGGGGATGACGTTGCTATATTTCGCATCTACATGTATGTCACCTATTTGGGGTGACGTTGCTATATTACGTATCTACCTCGTCTTTTTTGGGATGGCGTCGCTATATTACGTATCTACCTCGTCTATTGGGGATGACGTCGCTATACATGTATTACGTATCTACCTCGTCTATTGGGGATGATGTTCCTTTTTTACGTATCTACCTCGTCTATTTGGGATGACGTCGCTATACTACGTTTCTACCTCGTCTATTGGGGATGACGTTACTATATTTCGTATCTACCTCGTCTGTTGTGGATGACGTTTCTATATTTCGTATCAAATGTATGTCACCTATTGTGAATGACGTCCCTGTGTTACGTACCTACCTCGCCTATTGGGGATGACGTCGCTATGCTTGTATTACGTATCTGCCTCGTCTATTGGGGATGACGTCGCCATATTACGTATCAACCTCGTCTATTGGAGATGACGTCGCTATGTTACGTATCTACCTCGTCTTTTGGGGATGATGTTGCTATATTTCGCATCTACATGTATGTCACCTACTGGGGATGACGTCGCTATATTACGTATCTACCTCGCCTATTGGGGATGACGTTGCTATATTACGTATCTATCTCGCCTATTGTGGACGATGTTGCTATATTACATAACTATCTCGCCTATTGTTGACGATGTTGCTATATTACATATCTATCTCGCCTGTTGTGGACCATGTTGCTATATTACATATCTATCTCGCCTGTTGTGGACGATGTTGCTGTATTACATATCTATCTCGCCTATTGTGGACCATGTTGCTATATTACATAATATATCTATCTCGCCTATTGTGGACGATGTTGCTGTATTACATATCTATCTCGCCTATTGTGGACGATGTTGCTATATTACATATCTATCTCGCCTGTTGTGGACCATGTTGCTATATTACATAATATATCTATTTCGCCTATTGTGGACCATGTTGCTATATTACATAATATATCTATCTCGCCTATTGTGGACGATGTTGCTTTATTACATATCTATCTCGCCTATTGTGGACGATGTTGCTATATTACATATCTATCTCGCCTGTTGTGGACCATGTTGCTATATTACATATCTATCTCGCCTATTGTGGACGATGTTGCATTATTACATAATATATCTATTTCGCTAATTGTGGACGATGTTGCTATATTACATAATATATCTATCTCGCCTATTGTGGACGATGTTGCTGTATTACATATCTATCTTGCCTATTGTGGACCATGTTGCTATATTACATCATATATCTATCTCGCCTGTTGTGGACCATGTTGCTATATTACATAATATATCTATCTCGCCTGTTGTGGACCATGTTGCTATATTACATAATATATCTATCTCGCCTGTTGTGGACCATGTTGCTATATTACATAATATATCTATCTCGCCTATTGTGGATGATGTTGCTGTATTACATATCTGTCTCGCCTATTGTGGACCATGTTGCTATATTACATATCTATCTCGCCTATTGTGGACGATGTTGCTATATTACATATCTATCTCGCCTATTGTGGACGATGTTGCTATATTACATAATATATCTATCTCGCCTGTTGTGGACCATGTTGCTATATTACATATGTATCTCGCCTATTGTGGACGATGTTGCTATATTACATAATATATCTATTTCGCCTATTGTGGACGATGTTGCTATAGTACATATCTATCTCGCCTATTGTGGACCATGTTGCTATATTACATAATATATCTATTTCGCCTATTGTGGACAATGTTGCTATATTACATAATATATCTATTTCGCCTATTGTCGACCATGTTGCTATATTACATAATATATTTATCTCGCCTGTTGTGGACAATGTTGCTATATTACATAATATATCTATTTCTCCTATTGTGGACCATGTTGCTATATTACATAATATATCTATCTCGCCTATTGTGGACCATGTTGCTGTATTACATATCTATCTCGCCTATTGTGGACGATGTTGCTATATTACATATCTATCTCGCCTGTTGTGGACCATGTTGCTATATTACATAATATATCTATTTCGCCTATTGTGGACCATGTTGCTATATTACATAATATATCTATCTCGCCTGTTGTAGACCATGTTGCTATATTACATATCTATCTCGCCTATTGTAGACAATGTTGCTATATTACATAATATATCTATCTCGCCTGTTGTGGACCATGTTGCTGTATTACATATCTATCTCGCCTATTGTAGACAATGTTGCTATATTACATAATATATCTATCTCGCCTATTGTGGACCATGTTGCTTTATTACATAATATATCTCTCTCGCCTATTGTGGACGATGTTGCTGTATTACATATCTATCTCGCCTATTGTGGACGATGTTGCTTTATTACATATCTATCTCGCCTGTTGTGGACCATGTTGCTATATTACATAATATATCTATTTCGCCTATTGTGGACCATGTTGCTATATTACATAATATATCTATCTCGCCTGTTGTGGACGATGTTGCTATATTACATAATATATCTATCTCGCCTATTGTGGACCATGTTGCTATATTACATAATATATCTATTTCGCCTGTTGTAGACCATGTTGCTATATTACATAATATATCTCTCTCGCCTATTGTGGACCATGTTGCTGTATTACATATCTATCTCGCCTGTTGTAGACCATGTTGCTTTATTACATAATATATCTCTCTCGCCTATTGTGGACGATGTTGCTGTATTACATATCTATCTCGCCTGTTGTAGACCATGTTGCTATATTACATATCTATCTCGCCTATTGTGGACCATGTTGCTGTATTACATATCTATCCCGCCTATTGTGGACGATGTTGCTTTATTACATAATATATCTATCTCGCCTATTGTGGACCATGTTGCTATATTACATAATATATCTCTCTCGCCTATTGTGGACGATGTTGCTGTATTACATATCTATCTCGCCTGTTGTAGACCATGTTGCTTTATTACATAATATATCTCTCTCGCCTATTGTGGACGATGTTGCTGTATTACATATCTATCTCGCCTTTTTGTAGACCATGTTGCTTTATTACATAATATATCTCTCTCGCCTATTGTGGACCATGTTGCTGTATTACATATCTATCTCGCCTGTTGTAGACCATGTTGCTATATTACATAATATATCTATCTCGCCTGTTGTAGACCATGTTGCTATATTACATATCTATCTCGCCTATTGTGGACCATGTTGCTGTATTACATATCTATCTCGCCTATTGTGGACGATGTTGCTTTATTACATAATATATCTATCTCGCCTATTGTGGACCATGTTGCTATATTACATAATATATCTATTTCTCCTATTGTGGACGATGTTGCTATATTACATAATATATCTGTCTCGCCTATTGTGGACGATGTTGCTATATTACATAATATATCTATCTCGCCTGTTGTGGACCATGATGCTATATAACATATCTATCTCGCCTATTGTGGACGATGTTGCTATATTACATAATATATCTATTCGCCTATTGTGGACGATGTTGCTATATTACATAATATATCTATCTCGCCTATTGTGGACGATTTTGCTATATTACATATCGATCTCGCTTTTGTGGGATGACATTGCTATATCACATATCTATCTAACCTACGAAGTTGGGATCACGTTGCTATGTTACGCTGAATGAGGTTGGGCTAGGTGATACGGGTGATTTGCCTCGCAGCTATATTAGATATCTATCTCGCCTGTGGGAGATCACGTCGCTATATTACGTATCTACATCGCCTATTGGGGATGACATTACTATATTGCTTATCTATCTCGCCTACTAAGTTGGGATCACGTTGCTATATTACGCTGAATGAGTGGTTGGGCTAGGTGATACGGGTGATTGTGTGTCATCTTAAGATTTGACCGGTCAAGACTCGATTATCATAAGCATGTGTTTATGAATCACCATAAAAAAGTGATGATAGCTGGTGGTCGCGAAATATAAACGCCTCGTCGTACCCGGGATAAAGTCTGAGCGTTCTGGTAATTCATCAGTGAAAGATATCCTCATCAGCTATAAATAATGTCTCCCACCGCAAAATCAATAACGATGTTTTGAGTTTTAAAATGTTACTGTGTTCAAACAATGGCACCTGGACGTGAATCAATGCGCGGTGATTTAGTGTGTAAACAAAACCTCAGTGGGTAGCGAACACACCTTGGTTACACAAACAACCAGTATATCGTCAGATACTACAAATACACCATCAGGATGGTGGATATCTGTTACAACCACGTTAATAATCTGCTACACGTTACGATGTTACAAAGATCAAACATACTTACCGTCTCGCACATTTTATTGGATTGTAAAATATGTTTCCAGTATCAGTGTATTTTTACCGGCATTATTGGATCTCACTAATAACTTGTGGCTCGTCAAAGGGCCAACTACACTGGAGTAATGACAGAACAAAGTTGAAATGAATGGGTCATCGATTGGTTCTGCACGGCCCTGGACATAACATATAGACACATCCCATACATATACTCGAGCTGGCTTTTAACGAGTGTCTGTGAATAACATAGTGCTCGTGTTTCGGAACAATGAACACGTTCACAATCGTTCGCAGTTGCCCTACTGCTCGCTATAGTAGGGTATTTGCTGACATCATTTGATGGCGCATACATTCCCGGTGTGTGTGTGTGTGTGTGTGTTAGTGACGAGTCTCACATCTCGGCAGTGATTTACTGCAGATTAGAGAGGCAACCATCTGTGGTGGAGGATGTGGTGGTTTTGTCTGACACTGACACTGAGTATCTGTAACGGAGCATCTATTCACGATGCGAGACATTTACAAAATTACCTGTTTTCAAACTACACACCCGAGCACAGACCGCGGAACAACCAGAGCGAAGCAGTCCAGGTGTCCGCCATTGTAAACCTGTTAGACATAACTGACTTTGACGACGTGAAACAACAGTTCACCTGTAATGTTATTTTCGATATAAACTGGAAGGATGAGTTTTTGGCCTGGGACCCGGACGACTTTGGTGGGATCAAATACTTTACTTTTAACAACGGCTATAAGGCATGGTTTCCAAGTATAACAGTGACCAACACCTTGGAAAAGCGAGACGTCTTCTCGGACGATACTCAGCGTATGACGGTTTTCAATAACGGGACCGTGTTATGGATACCGTCCGCCATCTTAAAGACGTCATGTCCACTCAATGTCCGCACCTTCCCCTTTGACGTACAGGAATGTTCCATATATCTTATGGCCGTCCATTACACGGTCGATGAAGTCGAATTCGTGACTGGAAGCGATAAGGTCTACAATGGTCGGTTTCAAAGAAGCGACACATGGGATTTACTTGACACCAGTTTATCATCAGTCAGGACAGGGAATGTGTACAAATGGCGTATCACACTCAGATTTCAGCGTCGAGCCTTGTTCTACGTCCTCAACGTCCTCATCCCCATCGTCATCCTGTCGATTCTCAACATGGCCGTCTTCCTTGTTCCTGTTGAATCTGGCGAAAAGCTATCCTTCGCAATAACTGTGCTTCTGTCACTAGTCGTCTTCATGACGTTTGTAAGCGAACTCGTTCCGAGGACGTCGACAGTGATGTCCATGTTGACGGTGTATCTGACGACAGTGACAACTTCTAGTGCCGTCAACGTCATGCTGACCATCGTTGTACTGACCCTTCACAACAAACCGAATAAAGAAGTGGTTCCAAGGTGTTTTCAGAAGCTTGTTTACATATCCCGTAAGGCATCTTGCAGGAAGACTTTCGTCTTTGGCGCCACGACCACAGAGAGGCCGATGGAGTGGAAGGACGTTGCTGTCGCGCTTGAGTATTTCTTTCTGAGAGTATTTCTTGTCGTTTTGATTGTATACACATCCGCGTTCTTTGTTGGACTTATTGCTTTTGGAGACTGACAGAAGACCGAGAAGGAATGAAATAGCAAGCGTGCAGGCTCGCCCGCCTGTTCGTCCGGGTTCCACAAATTTCATGTATTCGGTTTATCCAACTGTGCCTTCCGTTTCTCACTGAACATATGTTTGAATCTGGTGGTTACTGACCATGTCATCTGAAACAGCCGCCTGCTCCCTGACGTATTTCTTCCGGTTCGTTACAGCCTGACTGTTGCAGTTCTTATCGCCACTTACCTTGATTGACAGGTCATATGGACTTTGTTAAATGCTACTCTCCGTTGATTTGCTACTGACTTTGTGAGCATGACAAGTTATGTGAATAAGTTAAAGAATCAGGCGATTCATGTCACGCCACATTATGTACGTGAATGTTTATCAATCTCGTCATTTTTGTCTGTTTTGTTTTATATCGTTTTTTTTTTTATTAAACTACTGTAGATAACACATGTTTTCATTATCGAATTAAATTATAAGGATTCACTGTGTATATTTTTTAGTCCAGTAGTAGTTTAGTTTTAGTATGAATCGAAAAACCGATTTGCAAACTTTTGAAAGAATCGGCTGTGCGGATTACACGTTATACTTGACAACCTGTAACTATAACTGTAAATCACATTCTCCTACTATCAGATGGCTGAGTAGGACAAGAGTAGGGGCTGTTCCTCAGTTCAAGGTCAGCGCTGGCAAGGAACTGAGCTGTCACGTTGCCCATATTCGGCCAAAAGCTTTGGATACATCACCGTACGTCATACGAACAAGTTCTTCACGACTTCACAAACATGATGATGTAGTTAATTGAAAAGACTAGTTTTGAAACCAAGTTGACATTTGTGTAAACGGCAGTATTACAAAATGTTTAAAGGCAACCCTTTCAAATACTTTACCTATGGAAACTGATCAGTTGAATTGGTCTGTAGTTGGCGACACAGTATCATCGCTCTTCCAAAACAACGGTAAGACGTGAGAAAATGTCGAATGTTTTGTTTTGTCCAAAAGGAAAGCAAATGTTTCCTTAGAAAACAATATGTGAAATGCTGGACTTTCTCGTGTATATCATCTTTGTGAAATGTGGGGACAGGACATTTAGGGAAAGGTAGCATCCACATGGGCACTATTCATGCTCATCTGTTTCTTTATGCGTACGAGTCAGAATGTGTTCTCGGAATGGCAAAATTAAAACAAGGGAATTTGGCGGAAACACGCAACGTAACCTTCATATATATACTGAACCAAATTAAAAACTTCACAATCCTAAAAGTTTAACATTTTGACCAGTTATCATTGTGGGCCCTTATTGTGTATTTAAACATTAATGGTCACGTATTGTCTTCAGATAACACCCGTTTTTGTGCAGGTGAATCGATCAAAATCATGTGCACAGCACTATAGTGGCAAAAGTGTTATTTCACGTGCAACTGGTCACGTGGCCATAATACCGCACGTGTTTTCAGCCATACTTGTTAGCAGCCATTAAAAAAAAGAAAAACACATGAAAACAAAAGTTTTTACGGCCATTTGTCATGCCACGCCTTTCAAATGTGAAACGTGAACGTGTCATTGGCATGTTGCAGACGGGAACGTCCGTAGCTGAAGTCGCAAGGACGATTGGTTTTAGTCGACGGACTGTTTATGATTTACAGACGCGTCTACAGCAAACGGGTACCACCGCTGATTGCCCTCGGCCAGGTCGACCACGTGTGACGTCACATACAGAGGATCGTAAGTTTGTCTTACGTCACCTCCGTAACCGATTTTTGACGGCTACATCAACCAGAAATGAACTGTTTAGGGGTAGACTGAGTGCGCAAACTGTTCGAAACCGTCTGAGAACTGCTCACCTTCAAGCACGACGGCCATACTGCGGGCCGATTCTGACTCAATTACACAGACGTCAACGTCAATTGTGGGCACTGCGACACTTACGATGGACTCAGAGGAATTGGAATCAAGTCGTCTTCAGTGATGAATCCCGATTTAATCTTCGATTTGCTGATGGTAGGACGAGGGTGTGGAGGCGCCGTCATGAACGTTACGCCCAGTGTTGTGTTCAGGAAGTTGACAGATTTCGAGGCGGAAGTGTCTTGGTGTGGGGTGCTTTCTGTGGCAATGCACGTTCCTGGCTTCTTGTCATCCGTGGCAACCTGAACGCTGCTGTTTACCGCGACCAGGTACTGGCACCAGAACTTCTGCCTTTTATGGCAGCACATGGACCCGGTTTGATCTTCCAACACGACAATGCCAGACCCCACACAGCAATTTTGACAAGGACTTTCCTTCAGAATGCGTGAGTCAACGTCATGGACTGGCCGTCAAGGTCTCCCGACCTCAATCCCATCGAACACGTCTGGGATACTCTTGGCAGAAGTCCAAGCACTCTCCAGAACCAACCACAGAATTTGCAAGATCTTGGCACCCTTTTGCAGCAAAAACGGCGTCGTCTTCCCAATCATGTGTTCACGAGCATTACAAGGTCCATGCGGAGGCGTTGTGTGGCAGTTGACAACGCACATGGTGGCCATACACGCTACTGAACTTGTGTGCCATCAGATTCTCGTGCTTGGGACTTATGATTTAAACTGTTGATGTTATTACCGAATACCGTAGGTGCTTGGAACAAATTATGGTTACCACCGTTAATTAAAATCCTTCTTTGGACATTGATGATTAAAAATTACCTACTCTGATACATTTGTCCGTTGTATATCATATATGGGATAACTTTTCAAAATGTGAAGTTTTTAACTTGACTCAGTATACATGTATATCGATGATCTGATATCGTTACACGATGGCCAATTAGCCAGTTCTCTTCCACTGATATATCCACCCGATTTCATCTATAACTCAAACTAAGTCGTTTTGATTGTGTACACATTACGTTCTCCGTTAGACTTATTGCTGTCGGAGGTTGACAGATATTTGTGTCTCAAAAGTAAAAGAATATTCAGGAGACAACAACAGGCGTTCTGCGTGTTCGTTGGAGTCACACGTAACGTTAATAATGATTATTTGCATATTCTTACAATTATTTTTGTTGTTGTGTTCATAGTAATTCCTGCATTCTTATTGGCTTAATTGGTCAGGTGTTCTTGCATTTATTTCCCTACGATTGTACAACATTAAGGCACGCCCACCGAAGCGGACTACTTTGAGTGCGGAATGTCGGAGAATCCCATATTAGAGTCGAGGGATTTCCATGTTGCCTTTCATTTTGAAGTCATCTCGAGGTTATTGTCTTAAATATTATACTTCAATGTATCCAAAGTAAATTTAACTCATCTGTAGATAAAACTATTTATATTCATCTGTAACGGTTCATTTAAGTAGCGGGTCATATGAAGTATCTATGTGTTCTACAAGAGAACGTAATAATTTCTTGTTTGGTGATTTTTATTTACATATTTACAGATTTAATTTAATTAATCTTTGTATGAATCGGTCACTGAAAATCAATCATTGCACCGGTGTTCGCGAAATGAGTAAGCATGTATTGGTAGTAAACGCCTCTTTATTTATTTTATCGAAAAATAATTAAATTGTCTCTGACGCCCTGAAAAAAATAATTATGCTTCATATTGTTTAAAAATAAATTATCTGACACAAAAATAACATTGTTTCAAAACAGTATTTTGGCACATAGATTTAATTAAAAACACGTCTGGTTTTGCAGCTATAGCTGAAAAAAATATCTGATCTCAAAACAAAGTCCCAGCACACACACCTCCCCTACAGGGGAGGAGTTACCTTTGATGTCGAACTCAGTGACAGGGGTGTATTTACCTTTGATGTCGAACTCAGTGACAGGGGTGTATTTACCTTTGATGTTGAACTTAGTGACAGGGGAGTAGTTACCTTTGATGTCTAACTTAGTGACAGGGGAGTAGTTACCTTTAATGTCGAACTTAGTGACAGGGGAGTAGTTACCTTTAATGTCTAACTTAGTGACAGGGGAGTAGTTAACTTTAATGTCTAACTTAGTGACAGGGGAGTGGTTAACTTTAATGTCGAACTTAGTGACAGGGGAGAAGTTACCTTTAATGTCTAACTTAGTGACAGGGGAGTAGTTACCTTTAATGTCGAACTTAGTGACAGGGGAGTAGTTAACTTTAATGTCTAACTTAGTGACAGGGGAGAAGTTACCTTTAATGTCTAACTTAGTGACAGGGGAGAAGTTAACTTTAATGTCGAACTCAGTGACAGGGGAGTAGTTAACTTCAATGTCTAACTTAGTGACAGGGGAGTAGTTACATTCAATGTCGAACTCAGTGACTGGGGAGTAGTTACCTTCAATGTCGAACTCAGTGACAGGGGAGTAGTTACCTTTAATGTCGAACTCAGTGACAGGGGAGTAGTTACCTTTAATGTCGAACTCAGTGACAGGGGAGTAGTTACCCACCCGACCATATTTATAAAGCTAAAGCACTTGGTTCCAAACTTAAGTGAGACATATCTAAATTACAGTGAAATGCTGGTAAAAATGATTGGCCTGGGTAGAAAACTATTAACAACCGGCCGGCAAAATACTTAATGTTATTTCCTACGACTAAAAGATACCCTCCGGTGTGATTATAGTAGATTGAAATATGTTAAACTACATCCCAGTGGTTCAGGCTTAAGTTTATATTTGGACCTACATGTATTTGTTATCAGTCAACGAATGTTAAGCCTGGTAAGCCAAACGTTGAAAAATGATTAGACCAGTGCCCCCATGGTGTACTTCCTATAGCAGTTATAGCATCTATCTATCCTTTAATGTCTCATATGTTTCACTGTTTAGAGAAACTAATATCCATTTAACATTAACTTGACAATAACAAGAATAATCATCGTATGTTTGATTTCACTACAGAAGTTTAGAATTTACCGTTAAACGAACTTTATCACCTCACACATGCCTGCTTCGTGCCTCAAAACATGTAGTTTAGCAAAACCACTCCATTCAGTATTATTGTAATGACCACTGACACGAACGAACTTCTCTTCTGTTATCTACAGTGCATCAAACCAAAACTTGAGACTCGTCACACAGCCAGCAGTAAGAGCATTCGAAGTGATCCGTAACACTACGCTCAAGTCAAAAGGGGACACACATGTATATTAACTGTGACGGGTCGCACGCAAGGTGTGTCAACGTGTTTATTGTTCCGGAACGAGACCTCCGTATTGGCCGCTGAAAAGCTTACTTAATGTCCTACAGTATTACATGAGAAACGATCATTTGCAGCGGGCAGCGGATACACTCCATATCCCACCTATTCATACCTTGTAATATAGGCCATTTGTTATTTACGAAAGCCGAATGTGCCACTCTGGTAATATAAATATAGAAATTCTATACTCGTTATTTCAATTATTTGTTTATTTTCTCGTGATTTCGAGATGTTTTTATATTTGTTTTGTTTGTTTATTGTTTACTCCCCCTGTGTAATATTCCAGCCATATGACGGCGCCCCGTAAATAATCGAATATGGAACACACAA